GTTGTTGTTGTTGTTGTTGTTGTTGTTGTTGTTGTTGTTGTTGTTGTTGTTGTTGTTGTTGTTGTTGGTTGTTGCTGCTGCTGTTGTTGTTGTTGTTGTTGTTGTTGTTGTTGTTGTTGTTGTTGTTGTTGTTGTTGTTGTTGTTGTTGTTGTTGTTGTTTTTGTTGTTGTTGTTGTTGTTGCTGTTGCTGTTGCTGTTGCTGTTGCTGTTGTTGTTGTTGCTGTTGTTGTTGTTGTTGTTGTTGTTGTTGTTGTTGTTGTTGTTGTTGTTGTTGTTGTTGTTGTTGTTGTTGTTGTTGTTGTTGGCGTTGTTGTTGTTGTTGTTGTTGTTGTTGTTGTTGTTGTTGTTGTTGTTGTTGTTGTTGTTGTTGTTGTTGTTGTTGTTGTTGGTGTTGGTGTTGGTGTTGGTGTTGGTGTTGGTGTTGGTGCTGGTGTTGGTGTTGGTGTTGGTGTTGGTGTTGGTGTTGGTGTTGGTGTTGGTGTTGGTGTTGGTGCTGGTGCTGGTGTTGGTGTTGGTGTTGGTGTTGGTGTTGGTGTTGGTGTTGGTGTTGGTGTTGGTGTTGGTGTTGGTGTTGGTGTTGGTGTTGGTGTTGGTGTTGGTGTTGTTGATGATGATGATAATGATGTTGTTTTTGTTTTTGTTTTTGTTGTTGTTGTTTTGTTGTGGTGGTGGTGGTGTCGTTGCCGCTGCTGCTGCTGTTGTTGTTACCCCTTCTCCTTGCTCTTGTTGTGTTGTTCTTCTTGTTTGCTGTTATTTTGGTTTATGCCGTGGTCGGTTTTGTCGTCGTCTTTGTCGTCGCTGTTGTGGGTTGTTACTGTTCTCTTGGTGGTTACGCTTTCTCTGTCGTTGCGGCTGTAGTAATGACTGGTGTTGGTGTTGCTGTTGCCCTTGTCGCTGTGTTTGTGGTTGTGGTTGTGCTCTTGTTGTGGTTGTTGTCGTTGCTGCTGCTGTTGTTGCTGCTGCTGCTGCTCTGCCTTGCTATTGTTGTTATCTTTCCTTGTGCTTGTTCTGATATTGTTCTTGTTCTTGTTCTTGATATTGCTATAGTCCTTCTTGTTGTGCTATATTCTGCTCTGTTTTGCCTTCTGCTTCGCTGTGTGTGTTGTGCTTTGTTTACATGCACATTTGAGCCTGTCACTCCCGCCCACGCAACTCCAAACACAAACAACGCCTGGAAAAACATGCCGATGATGGCCATCATCGCAAGTCTGCCGTTCGCCAACTCCGCCGCGAGCTTGGTTTTCTTGGCCTCTGGGTCGGACGCGGTGAGCACCTTGAATCCGAAGTCGCCCGCCGCAGCAGGAGTTCCAGCCGACTGGTCCTGGGACACCTCGCAGAAGGCCATGTAAGCCAAGATCTGACCCCACCCAGCAGCGGGAACCTTCGAAATTGCCGCAAGTCCATTGGGCACATCCGCGAACTTCAGCCCAGCCGAAGGAGAAAGGTACCCAGGGAATTTGCCGGTGATCTCGGGGGTAATGTATCCCATGGTTGCCTTGGTCAATCTTCAAACACAAACATACTTCGTAGAATACCTTACTAAAACGCAATCGTGGAACGCCTTACTAAACATTGACCGAGCATCGAGCATGGAAATTCGGCCATGCTTCAACTCCGTCTGGCGTCTGCGCGCAAAGTTCTCAGTGCTGCCATCCGCAGTAAAACCGGCGGGATCCCAAAATCCCACAGGAGCCTGCCACAAAACTCTTGCAAATTGAAAGCTTGAAGTTCGTGCATGTATCAATACACTTCTTCGGCTCTCCGCATCGCGTGATGAAATCATGTGTCAAAGTATGCCACATCATGCCACGTCTTGATGTCTGCTTATCAACCCATGCCACGATGCAATGGGATACCTGCCTGCAACCAAGCATTGACATGCTTACATGTCCAAATGAAAGGGATACATGGAATGATCTCATTTGACTATCTTCAGTGTGCTAGGCATGGTGTCAACTCATGTGATCCTTGAGCAACCCTTTAACTTAAACATGCAACGTCTTAAACAGCATGTACATCTTGTTGACGAGCTAGGAACAATAACGCTACAAGGCTTGATGGAGATGCTTGTCAACTACATAGGTTGCATGTTACTTATCCGTCTTTCCCATATCGCTAAATCCGACGAAGTGAGTCAACTGTCCTGCAAACGCAACTCAAAAGCAAGTGCAAATACGTGAGTGTATGTATACACAGTAAACAAATATATGTCGGATACTGCTGATGATGTTCAATGGCTATAGTGAACAAACTGCAAGACAACCGTTGAGAATACATCCTCAACAGTCACAATCACGGATGATAGATATCCAAAAGTCACTCGGCGCCTGCACCCCAAGCTCATTCTCGAAGGCGCGCAGCGGCGAGGCGGTGTAGTTGGCCCAGTCACCCCAGGCGCTTCCTGTCAGGCCGTCTTGGAAGAACATGCCGATGATGGCCATCATCGCAAGTCTGCCGTTCGCCAACTCCGCCGCGAGCTTGGTTTTCTTGGCCTCTGGGTCGGACGCGGTGAGCACCTTGAATCCGAAGTCGCCCGCCGCAGCAGGAGTTCCAGCCGACTGGTCCTGGGACACCTCGCAGAAGGCCATGTAAGCCAAGATCTGACCCCACCCAGCAGGCTTCCCTTCAAATTAAGCCGCAAGACTGATAGTGGCCGGGCAGTTGGATGCCCAGCCGAGACAATACCCAGGGAATTTGCCGGTGATCTCGGGGGTAATGTATCCCATGGTTGCCTTGGTCAATCTTCAAACACAAACATACTTCATAGAATACAAATGCTCATATCTTTGGATGCCAATCTCTTACTAAAACGCAATCGTGGAACGCCTTACCAAACCTTGACCGAGCATCGAGCATGGAAATTCGGCCATGCTTCAACTCCGTCTGGCGTCTGCGCGCAAAGTTCTCAGTGCTGCCATCCGCAGTAAAACCGGCGGGATCCCAAAATCCCACAGGAGCCTGCCACAAAACTCTTGCAAATTGAAAGCTTGAAGTTCGTGCATGTATCAATACACTTCTTCGGCTCTCCGCATCGCGTGATGAAATCATGTGATCAACTCATGCCACATCATGCCACGTCTTGATGTCTCCTTATCAGCCCATGCCACGATGCAATGGAATACCTGCCTGCAACCAAGCATTGACATGCTTAAATGTCCAAATGAAAGGGATACATGGAATGATCTCATTTGACTATCTTCAGTGTGCTAGGCATGGTGTCAACTCATGTGATCCTTGTGCAACCCTTTAACTTAAACATGCAACATCTTAAACAGCATGTACATCTTGTTGTCGAGCTAGGAACAATAATGCTACAAGGCTTCATGGACATGCTTGTCAACTACATATGTTGCATGTTACTTATCCGTCTTTCCCATATCGCTAAATCCAACGAAGTGAGTCAACTGTCCTGCAAACGCAACTCAAAAGCAAGTGCAAATACGTGAGTGTATGTATATACAGTAAACACATATATGTGAGATACTGCTAATGATGTTCAATGGCTATAGTGAACAAACTGCAAGACAACCGTTGAGAATACATCCTCAACAGTCACAATCACGGATGATAGATATCCAAAAGTCACTCGGCGCCTGCACCCCAAGCTCATTCTCGAAGGCGCGCAGCGGCGAGGCGGTGTAGTTGGCCCAGTCACCCCAGGCGCTTCCTGTCAGGCCGTCTTGAAAGAACATGCCGATGATGGCCATCATTGCAAGTCTGCCGTTCGCCAACTCCGCCGCGAGCTTGGTTTTCTTGGCCTCTGGGTCGGACGCGGTGAGCACCTTGAATCCGAAGTCGCCCGCCGCAGCAGGAGTTCCGGCCGACTGGTCCTGGGACACCTCGCAGAAGGCCATGTAAGCCAAGATCTGACCCCACCCAGCAGCGGGAACTTTCGAAATTGCCGCAAGTCCATTGGGCACATCCGCGAACTTCAGCCCAGCCGAAGGAGAAAGGTACCCAGGGAATTTGCCGGTGATCTCGGGGGTAATGTATCCCATGGTTGCCTTGGTCAATCTTCAAACACAAACATACTTCATAGAATACAAATGCTCATATCTTTGGATGCCAATCTCTTACTAAAACGCAATCGTGGAACGCCTTACCAAACCTTGACCGAGCATCGAGCATGGAAATTCGGCCATGCTTCAACTCCGTCTGGCGTCTGCGCGCAAAGTTCTCAGTGCTGCCATCCGCAGTAAAACCGGCGGGATCCCAAAATCCCACAGGAGCCTGCCACAAAACTCTTGCAAATTGAAAGCTTGAAGTTCGTGCATGTATCAATACACTTCTTCGGCTCTCCGCATCGCGTGATGAAATCATGTGATCAACTCATGCCACATCATGCCACGTCTTGATGTCTCCTTATCAACCCATGCCACGATGCAATGGAATACCTGCCTGCAACCAAGCATTGACATGCTTAAATGTCCAAATGAAAGGGATACATGGAATGATCTCATTTGACTATCTTCAGTGTGCTAGGCATGGTGTCAACTCATGTGATCCTTGTGCAACCCTTTAACTTAAACATGCAACATCTTAAACAGCATGTACATCTTGTTGTCGAGCTAGGAACAATAATGCTACAAGGCTTCATGGACATGCTTGTCAACTACATATGTTGCATGTTACTTATCCGTCTTTCCCATATCGCTAAATCCAACGAAGTGAGTCAACTGTCCTGCAAACGCAACTCAAAAGCAAGTGCAAATACGTGAGTGTATGTATATACAGTAAACACATATATGTGAGATACTGCTAATGATGTTCAATGGCTATAGTGAACAAACTGCAAGACAACCGTTGAGAATACATCCTCAACAGTCACAATCACGGATGATAGATATCCAAAAGTCACTCGGCGCCTGCACCCCAAGCTCATTCTCGAAGGCGCGCAGCGGCGAGGCGGTGTAGTTGGCCCAGTCACCCCAGGCGCTTCCTGTCAGGCCGTCTTGAAAGAACATGCCGATGATGGCCATCATTGCAAGTCTGCCGTTCGCCAACTCCGCCGCGAGCTTGGTTTTCTTGGCCTCTGGGTCGGACGCGGTGAGCACCTTGAATCCGAAGTCGCCCGCCGCAGCAGGAGTTCCGGCCGACTGGTCCTGGGACACCTCGCAGAAGGCCATGTAAGCCAAGATCTGACCCCACCCAGCAGCGGGAACTTTCGAAATTGCCGCAAGTCCATTGGGCACATCCGCAAACTTCAGCCCAGCCGAAGGAGAAAGGTACCCAGGGAATTTGCCGGTGATCTCGGGGGTAATGTATCCCATGGTTGCCTTGGTCAATCTTCAAACACAAACATACTTCGTAGAATACAAATGCTCATATCTTTGGATGCCATTCTCTTACTAAAACGCAATCGTGGAACGCCTTACCAAACCTTGACCGAGCATCGAGCATGGAAATTCGGCCATGCTTCAACTCCGTCTGGCGTCTGCGCGCAAAGTTCTCAGTGCTGCCATCCGCAGTAAAACCGGCGGGATCCCAAAATCCCACAGGAGCCTGCCACAAAACTCTTGCACATGGAAAGTTTGAAGTTCGTGCATGTATCAATACACTTCTTTGGCTCTCTGCATCGCGTGATGAAATCATGTGATCAACTCATGCCACATCACGCCACGTCTTGATGTCTCCTTATCAACCCATGCACCGATGCAATGGGATACCTGCCTGCAACCAAGCATTGAAATACTTGCACGTCCATAAGAAAGGGATACATAAAATGATCTCATTTGACTATCTTCAGTGTTCTAGGCATGGTGTCAACTCATGTGATCCTTGCGCAACCCTTAAACTTAAACATGCAACATCTTAAACAGCATGTACAGCTTATTGACGAGCTAGGAACAATAATGCTACAAGGCTTCATGGAGATGCTTGTCAACTACATATGTTGCATGTTACTTATCCGTCCGTCCCATATCGCTAAATCCGACGAAGTGAGTCAACTGTCCTGCAAACGCAACTCAAAAGCAAGTGCAAATACGTGCGTGTATGTATATACAGTAAACACATATATGTGGGATACTGCTGATGATGTTCAATGGCTATAGGGAACAAACTGCAAGACAACCGTTGAGAATACATCCTCAACAGTCACAATCACGGATGATAGATATCCAAAAGTCACTCGGCGCCTGCACCCCAAGCTCATTCTCGAAGGCGCGCAGCGGCGAGGCGGTGTAGTTGGCCCAGTCACCCCAGGCGCTTCCTGTCAGGCCGTCTTGGAAGAACATGCCGATGATGGCCATCATTGCAAGTCTGCCGTTCGCCAACTCCGCCGCGAGCTTGGTTTTCTTGGCCTCTGGATCGGACGCGGTGAGCACCTTGAATCCGAAGTCGCCCGCCGCAGCAGGAGTTCCGGCCGACTGGTCCTGGGACACCTCGCAGAAGGCCATGTAAGCCAAGATCTGACCCCACCCAGCAGCGGGAACTTTCGAAATTGCCGCAAGTCCATTGGGCACATCCGCGAACTTCAGCCCAGCCGAAGGAGAAAGGTACCCAGGGAATTTGCCGGTGATCTCAGGGGTAATGTATCCCATGGTTGCCTTGGTCAATCTTGAAACACAAACATACTTCCTAGAATGGAAATGCTCATATCTTCGAATGCCAATCTCTTACTGAAACGCAATCGTGGAACGCCTTACCAAACCTTGACCGAGCATCGAGCATGGAAATTCGGCCATGCTTCAACTCCGTCTGGCGTCTGCGCGCAAAGTTCTCAGTGCTGCCATCCGCAGTAAAACCGGCGGGATCCCAAAATCCCACAGGAGCCTGCACACCGAGCTCGTTCTCGAACGCAGTCAGCGTCACCTGACTTGAGTCTGTCTTCAAGGTTTGAGGACTTCTTTTGGAGACGGTCAAGGGAAACCAAGAGGCGTTCTGTTAGCCTTCTGATCAAGAACCTACGTGCAGTGCAACTTGTCGTCAAACTAAGGAGCCCGCCAGTTGACGCGTGCTTGTTCCGGCCTCAGCAACCGGTCATTGACTAGCAGCTGAAGTGGAGAGGCGATGATCATGTTATATCGTGTTCCACTTCGCACGCTAGCCCATTAAGCAATCAGGGGGATGTGAGTCAACTCGGATGCTATTGTGTAAAGGGACAGGGAACTTGGTTCTTGATTCGTAACCATGATTATCTTGCTATGCTAACCACTTTCCTGACCTAGAGTGACCTTTCAAGTATGTGTATATGTATATATCTACACATGTATGTGTATATATATATATACATATGCCTGCAGCACTAACAAAATGTGACTGTTATAAAACGAAAAGATCCACCTTTCTAGTGGCTTGAAAAGATTGACCACGTGCATGATTGCCTGTCAGAATCAAATCTACCATGTATTCCGTGACCTGTACTGTGACATTCAAAAATAAGCACTGGCCTTATTATTTGTCTTGAAGAACTTTGCTGATATGGACATAAGCACGCACTACATATACTGAAAACCATATGTTGCCTTTGCAAAACACATACACAGCAAAAATGCACAATGTTCACAGATTTCTACATGCTATAGCACGAGTGGAACTGAAGACCACGTATGGGGTAATATGTATTCAGAAATCAAGAGCATAAGTCATGCGTATGCAATCCTTACAAAAGTATGATTATTACTGTTCCTTCGCATGGATATAACCTTGTAGAAAAAGTATAGTGTGACCAACTTCCTGTGTCCTCTGCAATGATTTAGAATATATTTGTGCTGGGCTATGTGCACCATCCGCTTTTGATATGTCTGCTCCTTCTCCTGTAACAATTCCTGCTGCAAATGTTGTCAATCTAGAACCTTGCTGACTACTAAAATCATTTGTGGCAAATTGTCTACCGATGCTAACAACCAACAACTAAACCGCTATACCGATTAGAGCACAGTATGTTGTTGATTCTAACAAATATTCTTACAATCATGTCAAACCATAACTTGTGGCTATGATTTGATTTGAGTACCACCTGCAGGGCATAAGGGCGAAGCAGGCCCCTCAACATAAATACAGGTAGATGTCAATTATTTCAAGTTAATTCATTGACTATCTTGTTGGTCGGCTTTGCTGTATTGATTGCAAATTATATCTTCATACTAACTCCGCCAATCACAGCAGGATTCGCTACATCAAAGACTGTCATGTAGAAATGCTGAAAACATTCCAGTTGAGGCGTTTATCCAAATAAGTCATAATGGTGGATTGGTTTGAAGGAAGCCAAAAAGCCGAAGGCTCAAAACAAAGCTGCAAAGCAGAAAAAACGTTAAGCCTGCAAAACTCTCTAAAGAATCAAAAGAAACCCAACAAAAAAAAACATGAAATCCTGAGTGAAGAGAACAAATAGAAAACTCCACTAAAATTCGAGAAACCATGGACAAGTCTGGTGATCCGTTTTGCTAGCTCCAAGTTGTTTGTTCGGTTTCCGGTTTCCTCGATTTTTTTCCGTTCTGGCTTTCCATGGTTTAGATGCTGTTCGATGTTTTTATGACGCTTCTGTTTGGTCTGTTATGTGTCCGACTCTTTTCTCGATTGCCCGATTCTTGATCATGGAGACAAAGACATGCCGGCAACCTCCATAGCATGAGTGAAGAAAGGGTGGATCTTTCTTGCAGAACAGGGAACCCTGGTAGTCTGCGTTTTGCGCGTTTTTAAGGCTTCCAGTCTTCCCATGGGTCAGCCATGTCACTTAATTTAACAAATACAGAGCATCTTGAGAAAAACAAGCAAAACCAAAACAACTCGAGGAAACCTGGGGGAAAAACAAAAGGACACCCTTCGGTGCACAACTCATATTGAAAGTTCTGGAAACATGGTTCTTTCGGCTTTTAGTTTGTATTGGGACTTCTCAAGGTGTTTCGCTTTTGGGGCTCTCGGGGTTTCTTTGTTCTGATGGTTTTCTCGAGATTATTTTAGTTTTCTTTCAGATTTCTCGAGGTTTTGGTTTTCTTTGTCTATGATGGATCTACTTCTGTCCTCGGGTTTGTTGTTTGTTGGCGAAGCAAATTGGAAGCAATTCCCAGCTTGGCTGTTTGTCCTTATTAGATTCTGGCTGATTTCCTAGTTGATTTCCACTTAAAGTCCCACTTGCAAAGGAATTCCTATCTCGAATTGATTTCCAACTAAACTATAATGGAAATCCTACTTGGAAGGGACGTATTATGCAAAATCTTAATCAAAGCGAAATGTGAAGTGAATTCTAATTGAAATCCCATTTGAACTTAAAGCCTTGCAATATAAAACGTCCAAACCAATTCTCCTTTTTTGGGCCTTAAAGATTAGAAATATATCTATATTATCATAGTCTCGATGGATAGGCACATTTGTGCAGGTTCCCATGTTGCCCAAAGAGGCCAAAGTCAGCTTAGTGAAAATTCCACCCTTGCAACTCACACCTCTAGTCAAAAGGCCCAAGCTTGGGCTCTCACTCGTCCGGGCCCCCGCGCCTTTCGGCTGGCAAAGCAAGTGGCGACCGCCACGCTCGCCACGGCCAGGCCGGCGACGTTGGCCTGCGAGCCAGGCCGGTGGCCTTGGGTGACCCGGTGATTGCAGGCGATCGGAACCCGCTCCGTTCCCTGACTGCTCTATGATGGACAGAAGGAGTGGAGGAAAAGAGGCATCCAAGCCACGCAAGAACCACGCCCAAAATGGTTGCTCCAACTTGCTTCCATCAAAGGAGGCAACCAAAATGATATGAGAACGCAAGAAACAAGGCCTTGCATTACGAGCGTGGTTGGGTGTAAAGCGCTCCGGATTTGTAGGTCACCTGGGGGTTGGCTAAATGCTCAACTGGGCAGTTGTCAAAATTGTAGGCCACCTGTAAACTTGGTACGCGGCTCAAGGTCCTGCACGATGTACTACAGTTTCAATTCTTCATTGATGGATGCCAATTTAAGTACCCTGCCAACAACACATGGAACCTAAAAGTGCCATATTCGTCTAACAGGCACGCCTTTTTGTGATCCGTGTTTGCCTTTTTTCCGGGATGGTACATCGTGGTAAAAGTAGACGGCTCTATTCGGAGGAAAATAAAAATCGGAAAATGGGGAGGTTGTGCCATCTACTTCACCCAACTGTGAGGGAGTGTATCCACACTCCCGCACAGAGAACCTCCTGTTTGAGCACCCCTTTTGGGGGTTCCATGTCAATCTGCAGGGGAGTAAGTGTAGGAGGGCGTTGGAATCTGCAGGGGAGTAAGTGTAGGAGGGCGTTGGATCGCCGGCACCTCCGGCGCAGCCGGAGCCGAGGCTGAAGCTGTGGAGGCAGTCGCCTCAAGAACATGGACGTCGACAATGGGATCTGGACATCAGACCGTTCCAAGAATGCCAACATGGGTCATCCTGATACCTTGTCGCCTTAGAGAAGATTCCCTGGCATCGCATGGGTCCCAATCCCCAAACATACCTGAAGCACCATCGTGGTTAATGAACCTTGAGGGTTGACGTGTGGGTGTTTCCTCCAAAAGTGAAGGACCATGAACATGGCAACCCACAAAAACAAAGTAAACTGGCGTTATCAGGAATCCTTTGCAAGGCCCATCCCAGGGCCCGAGTCGTTGGGTTTTAGCCTACTTGGAAGTCAAAAACCATGGCACCCTCGCCCATCTCAATTCACCCAGGGCTGCTGCTCGCAAGTTCCCGGTGCGCGTAGATCCAGTGGAAACGAAGGTTGCTCCGCCAAAAAATGCAACGCCTGCGAAGCTGTGCGCCAAAGCGGGCGCTTCTTGCACGGTGCCTTACAGGATACATGAAACAAAAGTGACTGATCCTGTAAACCTTGCTGGCAAGGGTCATTGTTTAACTGGCCCCAATGATCCTCAAAGGGACCCTGTTCTTTCGTTAGTTTAAAAGCAATGTGCCAAAAAGCTGACATCTCTCACGCACCTGCGGCAGAAGCAAGGGTGGCTCGCGATGAGGACATCCTCAGAGCTCACAAGCTGCACAAGCGCCGCTCGAAACGGATCCGGAAAGCCCCACTTCCGAACCCATGCGGCCAATGCCTTTCAATTCACACTTTGCCTCTAGAGCATGGCAACCCTGATTCACTCCAAGGCTCGTTTACAAAAAGGTTAGGAAAATAGAAAATCCGCGCGGGTGGAGTATTACTGCACAGATTCTGTACAAAGACGCGCGCTCTCGAGCCCAAACATGCGACAACCGCTCAAGGCTTTCCACATGAGTCAAGACCGAAAAGGACATGGAGAAAGCAATGAGTGAGCGCCCCGGTTTCTGTGGAAAGCTCAATGGGCCCATGAAACCCTCGAAAAACGATCCACCTTCGCAAACAATTATACTGATCCAATTTGTAGGAGTTTTGGTATCTCCACATTGCGCCTGCATAGTTTTGGTTGCCAACCATGTTCGAGTATAACCTTCAAGCTAGATTCACAGAACAGTGGATTTTTTCATGTCTGGGAAGTTAGTAAGTAGCTTAGGCTGACTCACAATACATCCTGATGTTTGCTGTGTTAAACACAGTGCTTGCCTGACAACCAACAAAAACTAGAAAACCAAAAGAACCGCCACGCGCCACTCTCACTTCGTCTCTCAAGAGTCACACTTCAACTAACAATCACGCAGTTGCGACCGGTGAACAGCACTGCACGAGCAAGAATTACCTTCGGGGCCGAATTGATGTAATGCAAATGATCAAGTTCCTTAGTTGCACCATGTTGGAATCGAAGGCACCTTTTACGGGAGCTTAAATTCAGAAGCACAAAGTACTCGCGCCGCATTGGGATGCAATGGCTCTGCAAGGATTCAACCCACAAAGCCCAGCTGTCTTCCGAGCTGCATACGCAAAATTGGTTGTGAGGCAAGTCTTATGTCAAGCCTATCCACGGTCACGGTATTGTGCCTCCAGCTGGCCTGTCGCGTGATTTCAGTAGTCGAGGGCCACGCCCAGCAATAAATTGCTTTCATACATACACCCCCCCCTACATTTTTTTTCATCTTCCATCTTCTACCCTTATTCGTTTTCATCATTTTTCTACATTCCTTTCTGTCCATCTCATCCGTTTTTTATCATCATTTTTCCAAAATTTTCGCCATCCTTTTCTCCTTCCTCCTCGCCTCATTCATTTCACCAACTACCCTCCAAAATGTCATTTCCTCAATCTCCTCACCTCATCCATTTCAAAAAAAATAAATTTTGCAAAATATATTGCAAAAAATATTTGTCATCAAAAAAATATTCGAACTGTCTAAAAACGATTTGTCCATTTCCCGGACAAAAAATAGAACAGCAACAACATCACTCCCTCCTTCGTTTCATCAGTTTCATCATATATTTTTTTGGGGCGTGGTGTCCCTTGTAGGATTTTATCTTCAATATATAAAACGCTATACTTACATTATAATTATAACATATAAGGGTATAAATGTTATTATTATAGTATGATTAATAATTATGGGTTACATTTATAGTCAGGAAAAATGTCTTCAAATATGTAATCTACATATTTATCAATATCACCAATGTCTATATATTTGATATTGTCTTTTCCTATTATTGAATAAATATATTCCCAGAAAAAACAAATTAACTAGTAGCCATACTTGATATTTAGTGTTGTAGTAAGACCATACATGATATTTAGTTATTCTAAATTGGTTCAAGACCTCGTTTATTTTATCTTTACTTAATAAATGCCAATCAATCGCTTCAAACATGTCTCGAATTTTTTTAACAAATGCTTTATATGGTTTAATTGCGTTTGCCCTCCAAACCTCTTAATTAAATCTTTATTATTAAAGAACTCATCAATTTCTTTTTCAAATGACTTTCTAGCAATTTTATGGTAAAAACATACAGGAAATCGTTTTTGATATCTCATAAAGAATTTCAATTGTAATTGAAACTTTGTATATCCCTTATCCTTATGTTCTTCAACAAAAAACTTTTCAAGGTCTCTTGTTATACAGCATTGATTACAATATACATCATATTCACTTATTTTACTACACAGATTAGCAGGTAATATCTTATACAATGTTGTATTAACATCATTCCTTTTAGTTGTACAACATTCGCACTTTGAATAATTAAATAGCATTTCCACTGTAATATATATAGTGTTTATTTCTTCAAATACTTTTTACAAGAAATAAAATTGCATATTGAAATATTATTATAACATATAATATTTTACATGTTATTATTCTATTATGATTATAATTTAAGTTCAGGATAATAATTTAATTGATATATCTTACCTCTTTCATACATCATTTTAAAAATAAGATTAATATCTCTCACTGTATTTTTAACATTAAACTGTTCACTTTCAATATATGATTTTATGACTTTTTTTACATCAACGCCGGGTTTACTATAATAAATCAACATCCATAATATGTCATTAATCATTTCACACTTTTTCTTACTGATTTTAAGAAACTGTTTAACATAATCGTAAGGTGGTCTTTCATACACAGTTAAAAATATCAATATTTCATCTTCAACATTTCTTTCATCTATATTTTTAAACTCCAAACAATTTTCTATTATATTTTGATATCGTCTCCATCTTCTACAAGTTCTACATATATTTTCTTCGTCCAAAGAATAATCAATAATATTATTAACTATTCCATTAGGTAAATTCAATTTATAAAATTCCATATTTTCTTTTTTTAAAGTGGCAACAATCGTAGCATTTCTTATTGATATAATTATTGGTTTCGGTTTCCACCATTTCTATTATAATATGTATAGTTTTTATTTCTTTAAATACTTTTTTACAAGAAATAAAATTAAATATTGAAATATAATTATAACATATAATATTTTACATGTTATTATTATAGTATGATTATAATTTAAGTTCAGGATAATAAGTTAATTGATGATTGTTAAATTGTGTAAATATCTTACGTTTGTCATGCATCAGTTCAAAAATAATATTAATAGTTTTCACGGTATTTTTAACATTAAACTGTTCACTTTCAATATATGATTTAATGTCTTCTTTTAAATCACATCCCTCTCTTCTACGATGTAACAACATCCATAAAATGTGGTCAATCAGTTCATACCTTTTCTTACTGATTTTGAGAAATGCTCTAACATAACTATAAGGTGGTCTTCCATACACAGTTAAAAATATCAAAATTTCATATTCAACATTTCTATTACTTCTTCTTTCCAGATTTAAATGATATCTGATTAATTCTTGATTATTTCTCCATTCCTGACAAATTTTACATTCATCTTCTTCACTCAAAGCATAATCGATAATATGATTAACTATTCCATTAGGAAAATTCAATTTACATAATTCCATACTCTCCTTTTTGAAGTGGCAACAGTCGTAGCATTTCTTATTGATATAATTACTGATTTCGGTTTCCACCATTTCTATTATAATATATATAGTTTCTATTTCTTTAAATACTTTTTTCCAAGAAATAAATTTATACCTTTAATAACTCATGTCTCAAAAATGCCCTGTCATAATTTTCAATATAATAATATTCCTGTCCTAACTTCTTTTCAATCTTTGCTATTTTGTATGTTTGTTTAGTCCATACTCCTACTCTCTCCTTTTCATTCGGTCTCCTTTTCCTGAATATCTTAACTTCATTTCCTACATTTAAATCTGGATAAACTCTATTTCTTTTGGCTTTCATACCTAAATTTAAACTCACTTCTAATTGATGTTTAGGCTTTCTTGCTTCTGACGGTGTTAAGCCGTGCGAAGTGTGCTTTATTCCATTGTTATAAGTTAATATAATCTCGTGTATGTAGTCTGTCCATTGAATAGCCTTTCCTTTTTCTCATCGTTTTCAACCCTCTTATACAAGCTATCTTTAAACGTCCTTATCGCCCTCTCCGCGAATGCTGGGTGACCTCTGGTTCTATGTAATTCTATTTTTTCATCTTTCAAGAAATCTATAACACTTTGATTATTATAAGCTCCTTCGTCGTCAATATAAATTAGTTTGGGCTTTCCACCCATTTTTTTAATACATTCCATTAGTCCTGCTAAAATGTCCGCTGGCTGTTTTGACATAAGCGGGACAACAACCATATACTTAGAAAATATGTCAATACACATCATGCCAACTTTCATTTTTTGTTTAGGGATATCATTAATGAAAAATAAATCAATTTGAAACTCATAATATGCGTTAGGAGCTACAAATGAATTCTGCCTCTACATTCTTCCTAAAAAACTCATTAATATCGTTTATAGTTATTGTGTTATCCTTTTTTCTTGCTTCTTGTAAAGTGCGGTTCTTTGACCCGAAGCCTCCCTTATCATAATAAACATTATTAGTAATATCTTGCTTAGATGCCATATAAAATAAGATAGATATTATTTTTCCCGGCGATTACAGTTTAAACAGTAAGATATACAGTTTTCCTTATGATGGGCATACTCGTTGTTTATTCTTTGGGCTGTCATATTGCTATTTATTACTCCATTATTTATTTCTATGTCAAATTCCGAACTGCATTTATTACATCTGGTATTAAGCCTGTCAAATAACCATTTGACATCAATATATTGTTTGTTGTCTATCTCTCTCTCTGCTTTCATGTCTTGTAATTGATATTGTTTAATCTTATGTTCTAAATATCTGGCTACTTGTGCTTCATTTAAATCAGTATCATCTACGTCTGCTTTGAAAAACTTGACTTTATTGATATCTCTGCATCTCGTGAGGGCTGTCCAAATCCACTCACGGCTGACCAAATGTGATTTATCCCATTCGTGTATAGTAATGCTTTTATCTAGAGAAGCCCCTTGGGACGAATGACATGTAGCACAATACGCATGTATAAAGTGCTTGTCTAAAGTCGTGGTGTTTGTCATGAATATAGTTTTACTTTTGATATCTTGGGTTTCTACTTTCCAATCATCAATACTAATAATTTTATAAGTAATATTTACATTTAACACCTGCCCCATTTCTTTTTTATAAACTCTGCATATCACATGCTCTCCAATTTCATATTTATCTGTCTTTCCTAAATTATTTCTTACGGTTTTGCCCACCCATTTGCACCTAGCATTAGTATAGGCTATGTTACGCTCTCCTTCCATGATGTCGCTTGTAGATTCAAAATGTTTATTTACTATTTCCTTGAAGTGCAGTTTACTTTTCCAAATGTCATTATATATATATCATTCAATA